TCAGTGGCCCGAGGCGCGGGTCCTTGATTCTTATCTCTGGATCATGGGGGAAGGGAAAAAAAAAAAAAAAAGGAAAAAGAAAAAAAACAAAACCGGCAGGAACACTTTCCAAAAACGCAAATCTGCCTATCGCTCCTTCCCAGAGCAATCCCTGCTCAGCAGATAAAAGTGGTCTCACCAAACCTGACGCTAAAGATACACAAAAGAGTCGGCTCTGAAATCAGATCTGCACTGGCTCGGTCAGATATTACAGCAGAAATAAATTTCTCTATATTTTTTTTTCCCCCCACACCCCACCCTATTAAAACTAGCCACCTTACACTCGCCTTGTTCCTAGAAAGCCTCCTGGCAGCTAAATATACAAATTTGCACACGAAGAAAACGAGAGAGGTTTATTTGGGTATTTTTCCAACCACTATCAGCTGCAGGACTCTTCGCGCACTTAAAAAAGCCACAGTAGAAACAGAAAACGAGCTTCAACAGTCACAGAAACACAACCACAAACACGGTTTACAATACCCACCATGATGAGGATGAGGATGAGGATGAGGATGGGGGGGGGGCAGCAGAAGCATCCCCCGGTGCCACCCCGCGGGACGAAGCTCCTTCCCCGGGGAGGCGGCGGCCCCCGGCCCCGGTGGGGCACTGGGCCCCCGAGGAAAGCGGTTGGCAACGGGAAAACGTGCCGGGAGCTGGCTTCAGGCGAAAAAAAAAAAACAACAACCAAAAACAACAACAACAACAAGAAAAAAAGCCACCCACAAAAACCCCACCCCAACAAAACCCCACCGACATTCAAGTATTAAAAGCATCTCAGCAAACGGGAGGGGGAAGAAACACACACGGGCTGGGGTTGGCACTTTATCTCTGCAACAGCCTACTGCTTTAGGAAAAGTCAATTCACAATAAATTATAAATATGCTAGCACTAAGAACACAACCTTCCCCTCCCTTATAGCTCTACTAAGGTAGTTTTTTAACTAGAAAACCCCATTCTTTCTCTCCTCTAAAAGTTAGGAATAAGTTGGCAGGGGTTCTTCCGCCCCTTTTTCTCCTAAATAATTTACAATGCGGCTCTGAGAGTGCCCCCCACACACTCCCTCGCCTCCCTCCCGTCTTTTCTCCTCTTCCAAGTGACCCAGTATAAAACTACCAGATGAGGAGGTTTGCCTGTAAAGATCCTACTAAACTTTCAGGTCAAAGTCACATATCTGCCATGGCACCATTCGAATAAAAATCTCGCATAGTAAAACAAACTTTAAGAAAAAATAAAGAAAGACCAAAAAAAAAAAACAAAAAATAAAAGAAACCCAGCGCGGTTGGGAGTTGGGCTGTCATTAACCGACTACCCCGGTATAAAGTTGGCGAATTGAAAATGATTTGTTGGGTGCAATTAAAGGCAAGTCTTACGAATGTGTCTGTCTTGCAGTAGTTTAATTAAATCGTCTGGTTCCTTGGCCACCTCAACGTGTGAGTGTGTGAGAGTGAGTGTGTGTGAGTGTGTGAGGGTGTGTGTGACCGATCTACGCCCGCCCCCACACACGTGTTCCCACGCACATGCGTGTCCGCGCACACGCGTTTCCCCGCGCACACGCGTGTTCGGGGGCACGCGTGCCCCTGGCAGAGCTCCCCCCACTCTCCCCCAGGTCCATCTGTGCCAGGTGAACACCCCCGCGCACCCGGGGATTTGCATAACGCCCATCTGCGCCTTACGCGCCGCGCGTACAAAGAAACCAACGCAAAAAAAAAAAAAAGAAAAGTGTATATATTATATATTTTTCAGAACGTGTTTTCCCACGTGTCTACACATTCACCCCTGTAACCAAGGAAAAAAGCAGGGGG